CTCTCTCTCTCTCTCTCTCTCTCATCCCTTATTGAATAGCAATCTTTTGGAAGTTTTTGCTTAATTTTTTCCCATTTATCTCACGCTTGAGTTGACACACATATTAAAATAGTAGTGTTGTGTATAGTGTAGTGAATTGTGTGAAAGGGACACAAATCGTTTGAATGTATAGTTTGGTACCAATGATTGCAAATAATCCGATGGGAATTTACTACAACTTTTCATACTATACTTCACTCATAATATAAATAGAAAAATAAAAAATAATAATAAAACATACTTTCGTTTGAATTTGACTATTTTTCTCCTAATATTTATCTTATTTCCAGTGCTTTACTAAATACGCTCACAATTTATTCAATTATTTTTTGTCGTTCACTCTTTTTCCTCTTTTTTTGCTATTAAATCAATTTTATATTTACAAAAATATTTCATTATTTAAATTCATTGAAAAAATCGCTGTCTGTTTTGCTTTGTATTTTAATTCAAGTGAATTATATGTGTAATTATTTTTCCTTTTTTATCAAATAATTATAAATTGAAATATAAGTTATTTATTAAAACAGTACTTTCTATTTAACATAATTAATTAAAATTAATTAAGTTTATAAATAGAAACAGGAAAATCCGGGAATTATTATACTTACAATATCATAAATTGCAATTAATACAGAATATTCTGCATATTCTTTGATAATTATATTTAGGTTTATTGAATATAAACTATTTTATAAAATTCATTTCCTTTAATTTAATATTATATTATAAATTACGAATTTTATAATTAATTAAATAAATTTTTGCCAAAATATGAAAAGAGAATAAATTAAGTTTTGAATTATAATTAAAAATAGTGTTATTTTTATTGTTTTGAATAAAATTTAAAAATTAATGGTTTGTAATCACGACAAAATAATTATAAATTATGAGCCCTTAGAATCTATTACAACATTAGATTAATTAATATTTTTAATATTAATGCATCTAGTTTTAAATTAAAATATGACATAAATGCGCTCATTTTTAATAATTATAATAATTATAAAAAACACATTCTCTTTAACAAGTATTTAATTATCACTAATAAGAAAGTCGTTTAATTTTCTGGTATTTAAGGTATTATTATTAATTTTACACAAAAAAATTTAAGCAATAGACAATAATAACCGTTTGGATTAAATATAGATCTATTAACAGAGATATGGATAACAAACAAAATCTTATGCCATTATTATTAATGTGAATATACAGTGAGTTTAGTTTCGGTCATTAATTATGTTATATAAGAGAATAGTTATGATATTTTATTACTTGTATAACAAATGCAAGTAATACTGTATTTATCATTAAATATTATCCGATATTTGCTGTAAAGAAATGCCAAATTTCATAATAAAAAAGACTAAATAGTGATAACAAATTGTTGAACTAATCAAAGCCCATCCCATTCACAGCCCTTACAGCCATCACAACATTGTATTTATTAGTTAAGTCTTCAACAAAATTGCATGTCTTTAGGCGTATAGTTTATATTTGACTCTTGGTTTTCATCACTTTAACAATGCTTTTTGCATTCAACCTCTCAGTCTTCACTTTACCATCCCTTCAATTCTCTTATCTATAGCTCATAGTAAGACTTGCTATACTCTCTCTCTCTCTCTCTCTCTCTCTTTCTCTTCTCGGGTCATAACAACGACGACAAGAAGAAGAAAAAGTGGTTTTATTCATAACTTTCTTTTTCTTCATTGCATTCAAAATATATGAAGTTTAGGTTTATTTGGTTTCCAACACAACAAATATTAACAAATAAAAAAGGAATAAATTTTTATTATTTAGGACTTCTTATGGCTATAATTCTCAAGTTTTATATTTTGCTTTTAAAACAGAACTGGAGTTTTATTTCTCATATAAAATGCATTTATGAACAAATAATACTGTATTTGTATTGAATACTGCATATAAAATATACACATATAACAGATTCACTGTATGTTTGCTTTTATTATAAGAATTTTATTATTTTATTGGACTTTTTGTTTTGAGGTTTTGTTTGAATGGATGACCGAAAGAAAGGATCAAAATCTACTTTTCAGTAAATAAACTTTTAAACATATTGTCAACAGTTATATGAGATTATTATATGTTTATTATACACGGTTTATATAACATTATTCGGGTATTTATTATTTTATTTTACATAATTCAGTAATTGACCAGTCACATTTAAATGTCATATTATATTACCGATACTCATATATCAATATAGTTAATTAAATTAGAATGTTCTCTAAATTTAATCTATGATAATATTTATAATAACTAATATAGAGATAAGAATTTCTATATAAATATTTTGTACATTAGTTTAGAAAATGTTGGCAATACTTCATAATCGCTCTTCATTTTCAATACATAGTCAATACTTTATGTCAATAAAACACTTGAGTGTTAAGAAACTAAACATTTGTAGAGTTGAGTAAATTTTCATCAATTTTGATGAATTGAGTCTCAAATAGAGTAAAGAATTATAAAAAAATAACAGAATTATTGAATGAGAAATAATTGCATAAAACAACAGAAAAGTTTTGAGAAACGTTTGATTATGTTTTTGAAAATGTTATCAAATGCCTGTTAGTATTGGGGAATAACACCAATAATGATAATAATAATAATAATTGAGAAAACGATACATTGATTGCGAGTCACATATTAATTGAAAAACATATGATTTAATGTCAGATTTATATGATTTGTTGTTTCGCTATTGGAAAGCAAATCTTATTTTGATTGATGACATGCCTTGCGTTAAGAGAGCCCTAACTGTATTGATATGATATGAAAGCAGTCTCTCAACCCTTCACTAGTCTGTTATCTGACAACTAAAATGTATTACTACTCGCATTCAAGTGATGAAATTGTGGGCCAAATGTATTAATTTTTCAATATTAAAAGAAAATACTGTTCAGACAATATGATTGCAAAGCAAACGTCCATTTCTTAATACTAACAAAAACTAATCTCAAGAATAGCTTTTTTCTAATAATACCATTTGAAGAATAATCGTATAGTTATTAATATCAACACAAAATGCTTTACTAACATTGGTTAGTATTAGCTAACATTAAAAGTTATAATTTATTGCAATTTGTTGCAAATGTTGCACAAAAACTGTGATTCTGGGGTTTGTTTGCATAAGAATATTGTTATTAATTATTTCATTTTTATATGTGTTCTGTTATACAGAACTGTTATATAATGGTATCAATTCATCCCTTGAGGCTCTTTTCCTACATCATTGATAACATATTTTCTCTGAGAGTCAGAACTCGATATATATTTCATAATTACTTTGTGTTAATACTGTAGTTATTTTTTAGATGAAAACTTTGTGTTTTATCTATGTTTCCAATTAACGTTATAACGAGTTTGTGTTTATTATTATATAAATGTAATCTCATTTTTTGTATGCTTTGACAGTAGGTCGAGATGTGGTGCGTCTACCGGTGCTGATGTTCATTCACGGGGAGTCATACGAGTGGAATTCCGGGTCCAGTTATGACGGTTCAGTTCTGGCCGGTTATGGCAATGTAGTGGTCGTCACCATTAATTACCGGATCGGCGTTTTAGGTGAGAGACACTAACATTCATTAGATGTGTATTTCGCTTAATTCGCGAACAAAACCCCAAACAATACATTATAGCATACAATTGCTATCAAATGCTGTTTCCATTGCGTACGGCTGTCAGCGTTCATCACAACCGCCTAAACATTATCACAATTCGCTTTGAATTTCGCACACTATTGGGACTTATAGTCATTATAATCACTAAATATGGGCTCACTTTCGCTATACCCGATCCAATACACGCCAAACCTTTGCTGTAATTTTGTGTCTAAAACGCTTTATGCCATGTATTGTCGGCTTTTATTTTCAAAACAGGCATTTCTCAAACTCGCAAATTTATTCACATACTCTTCACGTCAATTAATCATTTTATAAACGAATTATTTTTCAATTATTTAGATTAAAACAGGAATTACTTAAATTTTACAAATATCTTTTTTACTTTGCTATTAATTGAATTTTTAAGATTTACATTCATATACGATATCCGTTTATATGATTAATGTTTGCATTCAATTATTTAAAATATTGCCATTAATTATTAGACATTAATAATATTATAACTAATGGCTGGAAGTAATTCATTTTGTTTATTATTGTTTCAAAAATGCATTTATTTGTTGTAATATAACTTCTATAAGTTATCTGATTAGCAAAACATTTTGACAAGTTTTCAAGAAATTTGCTTAAAAATAGGATGTTTTTTGCCTACAAATTATCTCAACACTAATGTGTCGTGACTTAAATCATTATAATGTTTAAAAATGAGTACATCATTGCGTGTAATGCTTTAGTACATGATTAACAAAAAGCAGATTAACTTATCATTTATTTAATTCAACACTTTTTAATATTCTCTTTATTTATTCTTTACATTGCAGTCAATCACAGAATTTTCTGCATTTCTATTAATTTAATTCACTTTTTTATATTCTCTTTTGTTATCATTGAATATAACGGGAAGAATGAGTTGATATCTAAATAGCTTTAGCCGTCATTTGAAAACTCACTCCTTTTTCCTATATTTTCAATCAAAACTAAATCATCTTTTCTTTTGAGAGCAAAAGGGGGATTCATTTTTGAAGAAAATGCAGATTTTGTGTTGTGTTTTATATTAAGTTTACAATTCCTTACGTCTCATCCTTTTTTCAACATTAAAATAATTCAATTCTTTTTAGACTTTTAGGCAAAACTGCAGTCAAATCGATAAATAAAGTGAATGTTTGCTGAAAATGAATTTATTTGCTGTTCTCGTGATTAGCAAATCTTTTTGACAAGTTTTCAAGAAATTTGCTTAAAAATAGGATGTTTTTTGCCTACAAATTATCTCAACACTAATGTGTCGTGACTTAAATCATTATAATGTTTAAAAATGAGTACATCATTGCGTGTAATGCTTTAGTACATGATTAACAAAAAGCAGATTAACTTATCATTTATTTAATTCAACACTTTTTAATATTCTCTTTATTTATTCTTTACATTGCAGTCAATCACAGAATTTTTTGCATTTCTATTAATTTAATTCACTTTTTTATATTCTCTTTTGTTATCATTGAATATAACGGGAAGAATGAGTTGATATCTAAATAGCTTTAGCCGTCATTTGAAAATTCACTCCTTTTTTCTATATTTTCAATCAAAACTAAATCATCTTTTCTTTTGAGAGCAAAAGGGGATTCATTTTTGAAGAAAATGCAGATTTTGTGTTGTGTTTTATATTAAGTTTACAATTCCTTACGTCTCTTCCTTTTTTCAACATTAAAATAATTCAATTCTTTTTAGACTTTTAGGCAAAACTGCAGTCAAATCGATAAATAAAGTGAATGTTTGCTGAAAATGAATTTATTTGCTGTTCTCGTGATTAGCAAATCAAGTAATAAATCAGTTGGAAATACATATCAATTCAATTTGTTTATTCCTTAAGCGATAGTGTGTTTTGTCATTCATTTATCACACCATATGATCAGTAATTATACATTTGATTAAATATTTTCCTTAAAAACGTTATTAAACTTATTCGCGAAGAAATTTGTTTGGAAATATAATGTCTACTAAATTGAAATTTTTCTTCAACCGAATGACAACTTAAATCTATTACAAGTGAAGCGAAGTTATTATATAAATAAATTTTAGTGGTTTTCATGCGGCAAAGAGAGAGAGAGAGAGAGAGAGAGAGAGAGCTCATATAAAATGATCAAAAAATTGACTGCCAGTCACTGGCATGAAGTGCTGTTGCCTTTTGTCAATTTCCTGTGAAAATCCCAAACTAACGGCTCTTTAGCTNAGAGAGAGAGAGAGAGAGAGAGAGAGAGAGCTCATATAAAATGATCAAAAAATTGACTGCCAGTCACTGGCATGAAGTGCTGTTGCCTTTTGTCAATTTCCTGTGAAAATCCCAAACTAACGGCTCTTTAGCTGCAAATCAGCCTCCAGTGCCTGTAGTGTCTGTTTTGCTGTCTCTGAACTCTGCGGTTATTTAATTATTTTCTATTTGCACACAACGTTTGAGACCCGAAAACTCTATACACTCTCTAATCGTTCAGAGAATCCAATGGAGGGGAGAATCGCTTCTCCGCCGCACATATTCTGCATGTTTTTTGTTGTCTTAAAGACTCTGTTATTTGTTTTTAATGTTATTTTCATGTAGTCTTGCGTTTGACTCCGCGATCACAACAGCACTAACTATCGATTAATCATAATCTCATGAAACAACACAACAAAAAAGTTTATTTAAATTTTTAAAATCAAATTATTTTTCAACACTTTGTTTTCCTTGTTTAACAAAAACTGTATCATTCTTCTGATTATTTTGATTGATATGTAAAACAGTTTCAAACAAATGCTATAAACAAGTAATGTTTGAGTGTTTTATCATTTTTTGTGCAAAAATTGCATATTTATTGATTAAAAGAGGAGAACATAATAATTAATGTCTTAAATAATATTTATTTTCAAAACTCAAAACACAAATTATTGACTTGAGTGCGGATTAATGCCGTTTTGCTAATTATATACCGCTATTGACTGAAGGGCTAGAATTTTAAGCGAAATTGCTTTTCGTTGTAATAAAAAACAAAACACAAAAAGTCTTAAATTTTATTTGCCATCAAAAATAAAAACTGCAGAACATATTCAGCGAAGAAAACTGAGAAAAATTTATATCGATTTAAAAAGTGGTGTAAATTCTTGAGAGCGAAAGTTCTATCAAACTGTCAAAAAGTCTGGTAAAGTAGTGAACAAATTAGCCAATCATACCATCAGTAGTACAACATCTCGTTAAGTATAGATCCTCTCTATGTTCTCACTTCTCATTCTCTCCTCTGTCTTCTCGCTTCAAGTCTTCGGCTCATCTCTCTCTCTCTCTCTCTCTCTCTCTCTGCTAAAGAGCCGTTAGTTTGGGATTTTCACAGGAAATTGACAAAAGGCAACAGCACTTCATGCCAGTGACTGGCAGTCAATTTTTTGATCATTTTATATGAGCTCTCTCTCTCTCTCTCTCTCTCTCATTGTTTTGTTGTTTGTTTGGTATGAATCTAAAGATTTTATTGTTGAAAAACCCCAATCTTTTATCCCATATCTCTCTGGCATACTGTAAGCCATCAATAGATGATAATATGTTTATATGAATCACTCATTCCTCAAGTCATATGCAAATCGTGATGAATGACAGACAAGAATAAGTGAATGAATTGAATGACAAATATATTTGCAAAAAAAGTTATGTTAAAGAACTCATTCAATCGTTTTGTCAGATAAAAAATTGTATAAATCTATGCATTCATACAATTGTATGCATTGAAGAGATGCTAAAACTGAATTCATTTACAGAATTGACTGCAAATATACATAAGAATTGCCATGAATTTTGAGTTCATATGAAAAACAGTTGACCCCTCCATTTGAATGATTTTTTCTCTCTAATAAGTGCTTATTATTAATATATTATATATTATTATGGCTTAAGATTATTATAGAGTAAGAAAATAATCTGTCGTTTTATATTATAATGCAATCAATCAGTACTTCTAATGCTTCTTATATATCGGCGAAACTTCTCTTTCAAAGTAATAGATAATAGACTTTCATCTAAAGAATTGCATTATTCTGTGTTAAGGTTTCTTCCCATCCCTGGACGGCACAGCCAGAGGTAATTTCGGTCTAATGGATCAGGTGGCGGGTCTTCATTGGATCCAAGAGAATATTAAAGAGTTCGGCGGCGATGAGACCAACGTAACCATCGTCGGTCACGGACACGGAGCCGCTTGTGTCAACTTCTTAATGCTCTCCCCTATGGCCAGAGGTTTGTAATCACGCCAATTGCTGGCACCAAACACTTAACCATAATCATTGCCATCCATCAAACATCGCAGGTCTGTTTCATCGGGCAATTATGCAAAGCGGATCAGCTCTGTCTCCGTGGGCCATAGCGTCGGACGCAGTGACACATTCACGCAATTTGGCCAAAGCCTTGCGCTGTCCCGACGAACCCGACAAGAACTCAGTGATGGTTGACTGTCTGCGCCAGCGATCGGTCGATGATATCATTGCCGTCGATCTCCGAGTGCCCACTCATTTGACTGCTTTCGGGCCCGTCATCGACGGTATAGTCATCCCCAATGATCCGGCGGTCCTCATGTCCGACACGAACTCGTTTTACGCCAATTACGACCTGATGTTTGGAGTGACCAAAATCGAGGCATACAATCAATTCACAGCACATGACGAACGCAATGGTATTGATCCTCAAAGAAGGGATAGACTCCTGAGAACACTCATCAGAAATCTATTTTCATATCATTTACAAGTATATGAAAGCAATACATATAATATATAAGTCTTTTACTCTTTCCTCTAATCTCTATTTCGTTTCCTTTTTTGTTTGATTTCTTTTCTCTCTATTCAATGAAATGTTTGGTTTGTATTGAAAGGAAATCTTCTTAACGGTTGTCAACGAATACACTGATTGGACGCGACCAGCACTCCATCCCATCAGCACTTTTGATTCAATTGCCGACTCATTTGGCGATGCGTTGATTGTGTCGCCCATTATAAGGGCCGGACTAATGCACTCGAGGGTCAAGAAGAGCACATATTTCTACAACTTTGCCTATCAGACAGAAGAGGGAGATTTCAACTCACGTTCCGGTTGTATTCACGGCCAGGACTTGGCCTATCTGTTTGGGGCACCTCTGGTCTCCGGAATGCAGTTCTCATTCTTCTCCAACAACTATTCCAGGGCTGAGAGCGCTCTCTCGGAAACAGTAATGACATATTGGACTAACTTCGCTAAGACTGGGTAAGCATTTCTTAAGCCTTATTAGACAAGTATACAGATGTGTCAGTCCTGTTAGCGCTGTCCTAACCATTAATCATATGATCGACGTTTCAATTTGTATTGCTGTCCCTTTCCATCAGTGACCCGAACGGCGCGGCCAATAGTGATGAGCGAAACACTGCCAACGCTAAGGGAAGAGTGCAATGGCCTCCATATGACGATATACAGCAACAATACTTAACGATCGGTAAGAATCGCAGCCAAAAGACTAAATTGAGTGAATATAATGCGGTATTAAATTGTTTTTCCATAGCAATGAAGCCCAAGAGTAAGGATCATTATCACGCGCACAGACTCTCATATTGGCTTAATCTGTTGCCACAACTTCACACTCCCGGCCCATCCAATGCTGATGAACACCATTTATTAGAGGTATGACAATATTCTCTCCCTTTCCCTAACTCTTCTCAATAGACAAGAGCTTATAGTCTAATAATAATGAGCGTAAAGAATGAGACAAATGAATGATAGTATGTATTAATGAAAGAGAGGAGTAAATGATTGTCGGTATTATAGTTGATATGATATGATGGCCATGTATTTCAGGCACACGACGACCCACTCAGCTATGATGGTGTGGTGCGCTCGAGCTCTCTCTCGGCTCCGACACCATTAAGCCATTACTTCACCACTCACTCCACCGCCGACACCATCGACGCCACTGTCGGGCCGTCAGTCGTCAACAGCACACATAACTCAAGCCATATGTTGGCGACGCCGACGAGAACGGCGCCGGTGTTGGCCGATAAGACCCATCAACAAAGTGCCTTAGATTCCGGGGCCGCCAAAGCCAACGGCAATTCCAGCAACGCATCCGTTTCAATGATTGTCCAGCAAAGCACGTACTCCACAGCCCTCTCCGTCACCATCGCTATCGGATGTTCACTACTTATACTCAATGTATTGGTCTTCGCAGGAGTTTTCTATCAAAGAGATAAGAATCGATTGGAAGCCAAACTCATTCGCAAGAATTATCAGGTACTTCATTGTCCACTCATTTCTATTCACATCACATCCCACTCAATGGCATTTAGAGTCGACTTTTTTCGGTTCATTGAATGTCGAAAAAGTGTGAATAGAGATCATATGATTAGCAAAACATGCAGAATATGTGCGGCGGAGAAGCGATTCTCCCCTCCATTGGATTCTCTGAACGATTAGAGAGTGTATAGAGTTTTCTAAGAGTTAGGGAAAGAGAGAGAGAGAGAGAGAGAGAAGTGGAGAACTAATGAAGTTTTGTTGTTCTAATCACTTATAGATTCAAAAGATGGATGAGCTAAGTATGACAAAGAATCCGAGCTCTCAATCGCCACTTAAGCAGCACTCGGGCCCAATCGATGCCAACTCAGCCACAGTCCATCTGCACTCCAACTCCATTCAAAGTGATCCATACGTGCCGGGAATGGCAGGGATGGCAGGGATGGCAGGTATGGCCACTTCCAGCCAAAAGCATTCGCACAATTCAATGCTCATAAGCCAAGACTCGCCGACAACGCTGTCGTGTCACGTGCCTATGGCTTCGGGCAATCGGTTGGCACACGTCTCGATGGCTAACACCACGTTTCACAACAATTCCGTGCGAACTCTGCCCCGAATGGACCACAAAGTGGCCACAGTTAACGTCATCAACACCGGTGCCAATACGGCTACTCTCGGTCACCAACAAAGGCATACGATGTCACACGAGATGAGAGTTTGACAATTCAAGACCACTTCAGTCTAATTGATAATTCAATTATTACATTGGATTGAATTGTAGTAAAACTGATTTATACGGAATTTATATGTATAGTGTGTGCCTCAAAGCCAACTACTGGTCAACACTTCAATTACCTTCAGTGACAAACATTTAGCACTGAAATGGTTGCAAACCTTAGACTATATCCGAAGAATACGTTTGTTTAATAAATTGTGAATTGACTGCAATTTGTGGCCCAAAATGGTGTGAATGGTATCGATTACATGATTATACGATTACATGAGTTAACGTATACTGTATTTACAATATCGATAACTAATGAAAAGAAGTACAACTCTTCCTATAATAGTGTTATACACACGGAATAATGGATTCAAACAATTATTAATTGCTAACCATTTCTCAATACATTCATCACTCAATGAATTAATAATTGTTTTGTGATTTATTAAACATTTCTCTACAAACAAAAGGAAACAACACTATTATTAACTGTGATATAGATTTTCATAATATTTAAGAACCAATTGATTGATATTATGTGAAAATAAAAAATTCTTTAAATTTTTGTAAAACTTTTATTTTATTTATACAATAGTCTAATGATATAAGTCTATAATTCATAGTAATTTTCAATTGAAATGACAATTTCAATCAATAGTAATCTAATCAAACCATTAATATAATGGATGAGTAGTTTGCAAATTATTCAAATCGTAATGACTAGAATTGTCGCTATATTTACAACTCATGTATTAATTATTATACAAAACTCTTCACAAATTAATGCATTGTTTATACAATTATTGTATGAATTCAACGAATATTTTATATCACAAACGGTACTGAAAATCGATCGAAAGAGTGAACGAAAAATTAAGTCAAAAGTATTTGTCATTAGAATTCAAACATTGAATGATTGGATGAATGAGTTATTTGGAGACTCTTTCGTAGAATAGCATATAAGCGGGACTCTCGAGCACTTTGGAAAGTCTCACTTCTAACACATCCGTATCCGATATGTAATACCACTTCTGGCTATTATTGTCATCAGTTCCCCGTCGGTAGCAAATGAAATGACCAGACGATGCGCCGCCCAAATGCACAATCACTGAACACAACTTATATTTGTATTTATTAGCCGTTCGGTTGACACTGAGCTGAGGCTCGCGATTGACGTTAACGTTGAGATTAGGGATAGGATTGGGGCTCGGATTCAATATGTCTAAAGAGGTGGAGGCGCCACCGATTAGGCCGAACTGTGTGGGCAACACATGGGTATCGATAGTAGATTTGTTAGACTTATAGACATAGGAATCCATATCTAGATATTCAGGAAATATGATGTGTTCATTGCGTTTCATGATCTGTCCGTCATTTAGCCAAACGAGTCGATGGATTTGAAGGCATAAGAGTTGAGGCATTTTGGCGAACGTCAACTTCTTGACGAACGCAGACTTTCTGTTGGCATCCAATTGATGGCTATTCTTAATACATGTCTCACATCTAACTTCATGTATGATTTCATTACTGACAAACTTCTCGAGACATTTATGTAATTCAATCGGAATTCCGAACACATTATTGGGTATAGAAAGAGATATTGTGTCAAATGTGTCCAAATGTAGCGGAAATTTATGCGAACACTTTCGGCAGTAGAGTTGAGAGCATAGCATCCCTTTCGTCGGCAATGGCTTTACGATACGATTATCGCCGCAAACATTCATATGCGAGGCTCGCGTCTGAATGGCAGGACTGGTCTCGGGTGACGACTCGTTCATCAATCCCTAAAACATTCAATATATTTGCCATTTATTTTATCGCATTCTTGGTATCAATCAAATCATCATTTTGTGCAATAATTAAATCAATAAAATGGTAAAACAAAAATGCAAAGCCAGTCAAACAAACCTCGGCTATAAGAGCGTCCTTTAGAGAGTAGACGGGAAACGATGAATACAGCTCTGACTCCAACGTATCCGTCAATACGTTAAATAACTCGAAGGCGTCCTTAATTGGAGGCAAAAACCAAATGAAAAATAAGTATAATATTTAAGATAAGACTAAGAGAGTAAGCATTAGAGCAAACAGTATAAGCATTGAACGACTGCTTATAAGTTATATAATATATAAATATATGTATCGATCGGTTTAGTATTACCTGTTCTTCATTACGGATCGTCCACTTGTGAGCTCTCAATGCCTTCAATACATTATCACAGCTATAGGAAGAATCGTAGGACTGATGACTGAGCGACTCATCGCCGAGCGATTCATTATTGAGGACTTTAACAATAGAAACACAAAAACAAAGTCAAACATAAAGAATAATTCAAATTATCGTTAAAGCGGTTCCAATAAATTAGGGATCACTTAATTCGAGCGAAAAACCAACTTTTTCACTACACTATTAACCATTAGTTTGGCGTTTGGATCACTTCTAATCATTATTATAAAGAATTGTTTCCCTGTTTTCCCATTAAATTCTTATAAATTTATTATTAATAATGAATTCATTCAAACATTTAATGCCATTAAAAGCTGAATTGAGAAACAGTGCAATTAAATAAAATACTTTTTGTGTTTTGAAAAACTTTAAGTACAATAGTTTCAGTAAAAATAAGTATACTTTTGAGACATTGACTGTAATTAATGCAAACTTTAAGCAGTATTTTCTGATTACTGAATATATATTTCTAATTAAACATATTTTTTAATTAAAATCTTTTTATTAACTCTCGTTTATAATTCTAATGCAAAATAAAATTAAAATTAGTTTTCGAGTCAAACATTCATTTCTAAGATAAAAAAGTAATAATTTTCTCATTGAATGGAAAATCGATTGAAAAGAAGGCAAATATTTTGCTTCAATTTTTGGAGCTTTTATTAAACTATTAATTGTCTAAAAGAGATAATAATATTGTTTTTACCATTGATTGTATTGAGAAGATTATGGGTAAGACTATTGCCATCATTACTACTTCTAATCATTATTATAAAGAATTGTTTCCCTGTTTTCCCATTAAATTCTTATAAATTTATTATTAATAATGAATTCATTCAAACATTTAATGCCATTAAAAGCTGAATTGAGAAACAGTGCAATCAAATCAAATACTTTTTGTGTTTTAAAAACTTTAAGTACAATAGTTTTTGTAAAAATAAGTATACTTTTGAGACATTGACTGTAATTAATGCAAACTTTAAGCAGTATTTTCTGATTACTGAATATATATTTCTAATTAAACATATTTTTTAATTAAAATCTTTTTAACTCTCGTTTATAATTCTAATGTAAAATAAAATTAAAATTAGTTTTCGAGTCAAACATTCATTTCTAAGATAAAAAAGTAATAATTTTCTCATTGAATGGAAAATCGATTGAAAAGTAGGCAAATATTTTGCTTCAATTTTTGGAGCTTTTATTAAACTATTAATTGTCTAAAAGAGATAATAATATTGTTTTTACCATTGATTGTATTGAGAAGATTATGGGTAAGACTATTGCCATCATTAC